TATGGGGCTCGGTTCTGCCGAGGGGATGACAGAATGCTGAGCCTCCACACCGTGCTTTTTTGGGGACAGCTCTGCTTTCATCGCACCGGTTCAGACGCGTTTGCACTTTGTTTAGTGTCTTGTTCAGTCACTTAACAGCAGCTAAACCCCCCCACCACCACCACCACAGTGTGCAGGTTTGGATGAGAGAGAAACACATGCACAGAGTGTGGCCCTCCGCTGCTTACTATACCACCACCAGCAGCAGCAGCATCAGCAGCAGCATCATCATCATCCTCAGTCTAACCACAAGCAAGCACGAGCGTGGACAGCGGGGGACACACACAAGTCAGAGGGACGCAACGTTACCTTTCATCCAGTCCAGCACTTGCTTTGGCGTCCATTTACTTATAGGTTCCATAACCAAAGCCATGGTGTCACGGTCTCTCCGAGGTGAACGGCGCGGGACTCGATGCGGGCGTCATAAAACGAGCCGTCGGTCACATCTGGAATGACAGAGCGGTGGGCAGATGTGGGGAAAACGGCAGAAAGGTGGTCGGGTTTACTCTCTCCATCAGAGCATGGTCGCCCGCAGAAAACGGTGAACGGGATGCGGTGGTGCAATCCACGCGCGCACACCAACACGCACACACACAAGTCTCTCTCCTCTCCCTCCTCTATCTCTCTCTCTCTCTATCACTCTCTCTCTCTCTCACTCTCTCTCTGATTCTCGTGCTTTCCCGCCAGCAGCCGGCGCGCTGTGAGAAGTGGATTCGGTGGGCGCGAGGAGATGGAGGGACCCCTCCCCTCTCCTCTCTTTTTCCTCCCGCCCGCCTCGCTGCAGCATCACCAGGGCCACCACTCATAATACAGACCAGGGAATGGTGCAACGCACACCATATAGGGAGGATCTCTCTGCCCTCTACCCCCCCCCCCCCCCCCCCCCCCCCCCCTAGACGCACATGCATAAAGAAAAGAGGTTTTATGCAAATATCTTAAGGATCCCCTTTGACAATCAACGCCACAATAAATAATATATGCACTGCAGCACTCTCTTTGGAGTCCCAGCCATGCATACTGATAACGTGGCAGAAATTGAAAGGTTTATTCCCACATATTTGATAACTCAGCGGCGTCATGGCGCCCTCGGAATAAGTGGCCACATCAAAAGGGGCGAATCGCCAGATGTGTTCACCCTCCGTGGAAGTTGGCTCTCTGTGTGAGAGGACATCAGCATCAGTTGTCAGGCGTCGCTGCATGTCGTGCACGGACCTAATTGCGCGGGACAGCGCCCCCTGCTGCGCACCTGCGATACAGGTGACGTCATGGGCAGAGACGGCCGAGCGTTTAACATTGGGTCAGTTTGTCCGCAAAGGGTTTGAGCCCCTCATTTTCACTTCGGAGCAGACGGTTTTTCATGTTTTTCCTCTAAATATGGTGCATTGCAATAGTTGAACAGGTGTTTGTGATTTTTTTTTATTTTATTCTACCTTTTAACTAAAGGTTCTGTTTTTTTTTGGATGTCTCGAGAGGGAAGTCAACTCAGATCTGTGAAGCACTCATGCTCAAGACAAAGGGGCATCTAACGAATTGTAATGTTGTTATGACACCTTGAAGAGCATAATAACAAATAAAAGGTATTCTAACTGGTGTCTTTGAACGAAATACTACTTTGATCCCCATTTACATAGTTCTTTTTGGCATTTTAAAAGTGTAACAGTTTTATATACATATGATGTGAAGTATGAAAGGACAAAAAGATTTGGACAGGTGGACCTAAAAGTGGACCAGTGAGATGCTCTTGGATAGGAAACAAAGGGCAGCAAATGTCGTTCAGGAAGTCTGGAGAAGTAAACCACTTAGAGAAAGTACCTGGATGAGCCTAAGCTCTTTAGAATTCTTCAAACTCTGTTTCCATTCATGTTGTAATGTTCCAAAGCAGTGCGCACAGACAGTATTCCCTGTTTACCTGGCAATATTTAAGGGAAAGAATGCAAATCCTTACACAGATTCTAACACTTGCACCTTGTACAGTGTGACCATATATTACACACTCACAAACAACAAGCACAAAAGGTCCTCTTGTGTTACTTCTACAACAAATTACATCTCCTTTCAAGTTTTGAATTTACCCCCAAATTAATGTTAAAGTAAATTTAGTATTTTTTATTATACATTTTTTATTATTAAATTATGTTTAGAGGAAATAACTTTAAATTAATGTGATTGTTAAACAGTCTGATATATGGCCGTCCTGCAGCAAATTACCAATTATATATCACGAATTAAAGATAAAAGTTGTTAGTAGAATGAATAACAAATAATATTGTGGTCAAACCTTTTATTTTTATTTCAAATATATGTTGCATATTCACAATAATAATAATGAATACACAAAACTAAAACAGATTCTATCAAGTTTATTTGTTAAATTGTTTAGAAAATATTTTTGTAAAACATTAAGGGAAAAAGTATCACTTTTTTTTGCATAATAATGTAACAAATAATTAAGTCAAAAATAAATCTAAAACAAAACCTTAACAATCAGAGTAAACTGTAACATTTAGACAGATGTGCCACTCCAGCTGTGAATGCAGGTTCCGTTTTCACAGGAAACTACAGTGACATCACTGAAAGGAAACTTGGTTGAGGAGGGAAAAAAGACATTTCCAGAGCGAAGTTCCAACTGCTTCCATGTCTGTGACCTCCCCCTCCAGCAACCCGCTGAACAAAGTCAATGGTGGGCGGGACCACTCTGCTCCGTTTTTGGGCCTTTCTGAATGTCACAGCGATGATCTCGCGCTCCCATTGGCTCCTGTCTGCGAATACGTCACAATCATGATTAGAATTGATGATCGGACGTTCTGATTTCATTGTCTAGCAAAGGGGACTGGTGAAGAAATCTGCTGATTTGGAACGTTCGTCTGATTTTGACATTCAAAATGGTATGTGGAAAGGCGATTTCGCTTTTTAGCCAAAAGCTCTCGTGGAGCGTGTTCGTTTCCCCTCCGGTCCAAGCTAAAGCCGGGGAGACGGAACCCCTTCCAGGTTCGGGAAATCACAGATTTGGAGGAAAAGTTTAGCTGCAGCTATCCACTGGGAAAGCTATGCTAACGCTAGCTTCCCTCGGCTGGCTCGGACATGGCCGCTCAGGCCTGCAAGCTAACGCGGGGCTGGCTGCATGGCCGTTAGGGGTGAAAGCAGCTCTTACCCGGCGTGTTTCCCGGTCGTAAAGTTAAGACGTGCGCGCCGTGTGTGGTAATTATTCCCCCTAAATCCGTTCGCTGCTGCCTTGGTGGCTTTCTAAGCCGACTTGCCCACAACTGTTTGCTAATTCTCACCGCAGTGTTTCCATACAGACAGTAGCCATGCGCAGTCAGCGTACCAAAATAAACCTGCAGCCTGCTTATTGGCCACACAACATGCCCGTAAGCGACTTAATTTTCATCAAAAGCTCCAACTATGTCAATTTTCAAACTTTCTGCCCCCTATTGTTTCAACTCTCCTAAAGTTCCAGTCTGGTTTTCGTTGTTTCCCCCCCCCCACTCGTTTCCTTGTACTCAAACAGTGGGTTGGGGGTTCAAGCGAAGCATGTACACTTTTATATTTTATGTCCTAACATTTAAGCTAGTCCCCCCCACCTGGCTATTTTTCTTTTGAGGAGTTTGGCGTAAATTGATGGATTTCCCCCCCTGCAAATGTGGAACATTAACTTGGTCTGGGATACATTTTTCCTCATATTAATTTTTCAAATATATTTGACCCTTCAACTTAGCCAGGGGAAAGAAGTGGTGTCTAGTCTGGCAACGTTCCTAAACGGCAACGTTAAAACACAGAGACGTACTTAACATGGTTATTATACATGCACAATCATTAAAAAGTATATTACAGAAGCATAAGAATGGTAATAAGCAGAACAGAATATATAGCACACTTTGAAATAGGTGGGAAGATGATCTTTTGTTGTTGTTGTTTTTATTTTTGCCCTTACAAAACGTGTTGTTTGCTTTGTTTTACGAACTCAAGACACACGACCCAGTGGTGTCCCAGGCACTCTGAGGATAGAAAGATGAGCACGGTGGAAACAGTGCTGGGGTAGAAAGATGGAGGTGCTGCTGTGATCTGCATGGCTGCCCCGTTCCTCTCCAGTAGCAGCAGAATGGATGCGTGGCCACAAAGACGTGGCCTGCAGACTGTGAGTACATACAAACTTGGTATTAATTTAGTCACACTGGGGAAAAATCATTTTGAAGTCATGACATATTCTGGCTTAAATAAAAGATGGTGTAGGAGTAGGAATGTGTGGGAGAGTCTATGACTGATGTGGAAGGCAAAAAGTGTTTTAAAAAAAAAGGTAATTGAAAAAAACTGTTTGAGTTTTTGACTTTGTCTCTCAGATGAACCTGCGGTCAGTGTTTACAGCTGAGCAGCAGAGGATCCTGGAACGTTACTATGACAATGGGATGACCAATCAGAGTAAAGCGTGCTTCCAGCTAATACTGCAATGTGCTCAAGAAGCCAAACTGGACTTCAGCGTTGTCCGGGTAAGCTCATGAAATTTGCAGGGCTGTGCTCTGACTTTTGCTTTTTCAATCTTTTTCAAAGCTTTGCTGAGTCATGAATTGTCTCATTCCTCGCTCCTTAGTTCCTGATATTTTGCAGAAGTTGCTTTTTTTTTTTCTTCTTTCTTGAAGTGATGTTGCCGTTTCTCTTATCTTGCAGACTTGGGTTGGCAACAAGAGAAGAAAGCTTGCCTCCAAGGCTGACCAGAATGGAAGCATGTCTCATTCCTTGACTAGTCATGGAATTGCCGGAGGGCTACTCTCCAATCACGCGTTAGCCGGAGGTGTGCTGTCCAATCACAGCCTAGCGGCGGGGGCGCTGCTTCCTGCCGATGTGGCGGCAGCGCGGAACATCCAGAACCGTGTGCACCTTCTTCCTCCATCCTCGTCTTTCCCATCTTTCTCATCGACATCTTCCTCGCCCTCATCTTCCTCTCCCCTGAGCAGCGGAAGCAACAACAACGACGTGATACTGACCGGGATCTACTCTCTGAACTCCGTCCCCCGCTCCCGGCCGAGGCCACCGGCTGCCCCATCTCAGTCGGACTCTGAGCTTTCAGCTCACGCGGCGTCTTCCTCTCTGATCACGCAGGTGTTGCAGAGCAGGAGCAACGCCGCGTCCTCCCCCGTCCACCCCAAGCTCGTGTCCCTCACACAGAATCTCCCCACCCTCGCATCCGCCTCAGGACCTTTAGTCTACACTGCAGTCAGGAAGGGCACTTTATCCACTGGGGAGGGCGGGGTAAGTGCGGGAGCAGGGGTGATACCTCACAGCTGGACTAGACAGTACGGTACAGCGCAAACTCGCCCCTGGTCGTCCTCCTCACAATTCCAGACTCAGCTTCAACCCAGACCTCACTCCAACCCTCAACCTCAGCCTCCTGCCCCGCAGCAGAAGCCCCGGGCCTCCATCCCTGCCTCAAACGCCGGCGCCCCCCCCGAGCAGACGCCTCGCATCCAGCAGGTCTTCTCCCTGACAGACAAGGGGGAGGACGACCATCTCAGATCTGGGCCGGCATCTGCTCGGAGAAGCCAGGAGGCGCACAGGCCGGCGCCCCTGGACGCCAGTCATAACTTCTCCATCGCCATGGAGACCGGGGACGAAGAGGACGAGTGGCAAAGGGAGGAGGAGTTGGCCAATATGGCCGCTCAAACGCACATCCACAGGGACCGGATATTAGTCAGTCCAACTGGCGGCGAGGCGTCTGTCGTGAGAGGAAGCCGCACCCCCACCCCCACCGGCTCCAGACCCACGTCTCTTCAGGGCAGCTACTCACTCACAGCGCAGACCTCACTTACAGGAGAATCCACTTCTCAGGTAGGAGACGTTCTGCCAATCAGCACCGGTTGTGTCTCAACGGGACTCCGAAAGCTTTAAGGTGTGTGTCTTTACGCTCAGACATCGCTCGGCACGTCTGCAGCCCCCTGGGTCATCAGCAACTCCAGAAAAAGAACGGTAAGTACGGCTTAACTGGCAGAACACCCGAGTGTTTAACACAACCAAACTCCTCCAGTCCCAGAGTCATGCACATACATGTCCGTGACCAAAGCTGGAGATGATTTTTCACTCCATCTGGGGCCTGCTTACCGACTGTGCGCACTGCAGCGTAGTCACCCAGAGGCTCATGTTTTCAGCTGCAGGATCGGACTCAGTTCAGTGATGGGGATCTCATCCAGCTGAAGCGCTACTGGGACCGAGGCATGACTAGTCTGGGCTCAGTGTGCAGGGAGAAGATCACGGCCGCAGCCAACCAGCTCAATGTAGACACTGAAATAGTCAAGGTAAAAACTTCCCGGAGGGCGACATCGATCGCTTGGCTTTAAAAACAATCAGATACAGTCAGACAGGAGTTAAATCAGATGTTTGACAAAGTGTTTAATTTGTGCTTATTTAAAAGTCAGGCAGTTATAAAAGGTCTGGTGGAGTAAATTTGGTCCAAAAAGCAGCTCTTTGTGGCTCTTTGGGATAAGGGAAATTTCCAACGGGGATTCTATGGAGATTAGTTAAGAAATCAAACGAGACTGAAAAGTTTACCTTTCACCGACTACCTTTTAAGACTTTTTACATACCTGTTGATAATGTACGAAACATTATCAACAGTTGAATATGCCTTAGTCGGCCATGTTTTTTAACATTTTCTATTTAATGTATGATTTATTCTGTTCACAGACATGGATCAGCAACCGGCGCAGGAAGTACCGTCTTATGGGCATCGAAATCCCCCCTCCTAAAGGGGGGCCCGCTGTATTCCCGACCTCTTCCCCGGGAAACGACTCTCCGGTGGACCTCAGCCCTGACGGGGAGCGGCTCAGGACGCCTGACCTCGGGGACGACTTGAATGACGGCGCGTCCGTGTGCCTGTCTGAGGGTAAGGCTTCCGATCACTTTGCGCCCACGCTGTGGTGACGTCCTTATTTCACAGTGTTCTCAAACCTAGATGGAACCATCGATTCCCAGCAGAGAGACGGAGACGATGGAACAGACGTGTCCACCGATGCTCCGCTGGCCAATAATGTGGTATTTTATCTGAAATTACTTTAATACCTCTTTAAAGCTACTCAGAAATACATTTTGAATTAGACATAATATCAAAGCAATCAAATAGCAATTTCCTAGATGGTTGTAATCTGTAACTTTGGTGCCTGTAATGATGCAAGAAAGCACATGCATTTTAGTGTCTCGTCTTATTACTAACTTAGATATAACTGTTGTATTTGTTCTTGTTTTTTCCATATTTGCTGATAATAATCAGCAGTCTCGCTGTAAATGCAGCATTGTGAGGACATCACTCAGCCCCACAGCTGTAGTCCTTTTGAATTGTCTTTTGAAGGGCTTCATTATTGTTGAGAGCTGTGCTGTTGATGTGCTTTTGACAGAAGATCGAGGTGATTGACGAGGATGAAGGCGCCGATGACGACGAGGACGAAGCAGAATTAGTGGCCTCAGACCTCGAGCAAATGCAGAACCTGCTGGAATTCAAGGTAAAGTCACACCAAAGGATGATGTAGGGTGATCCAGTTAAGAGAGCCGCAATGAAATGAACTGTATGCCATCACTCTGGTGTAAAATCTGTCTTTCTTTGTCTTCTTTGTGCCTAAAAATGACTTTTGTTGTGAATCTGTCCTTCATAAATAGACTGAGCTGAATTAAAATAAACATAGCAAGGCTGAATGGCATAGTTTTCTTTTCTTTTTTAAAGCTGTCACATTAAACCGTACTCTCAGAGTGACCTGTATGGCATGTGAAATCATTCATTTCAGCATGAGGAAGTGCAGTTCTTGGAAAACGAGCTAGAGAACCAAAAACAAAAATACCAGGAGCTTGCGATCTTCACAAAGAGCCTGCTCATCGCCGTGAAGACAAACGACTTGGAGAGACAGCAGGTACATTTAAAGACATGTTTACAAAGCATCAACATCAACATTTTATACACTTGGTGTTTTATTATTATTGTTATTTGAGCTGAAGTGTTCCATATGCTTTCAGGAACTCTTGGCCAGTCTACCTCAGCCATCAGACCAGGACTGGGACATGTCCATGGAGAGGGAAGCCCAGCCCGATGCAACGCCCAACCACGGCGACCCCCACGCCGACGGCGTGAGCAGCTTCGATCCTCCACACGCCCAAGCGAAGGAAGAATTCCCGCTGGTCACCGTAAACAAAAACAACACGGCAACAGAAGTTACTGAGCCCTCTGCATCAGAGGAGCAGCCGCAGGAAGCGGCAACTGAACAAAAGTGACTCGTCCGCATCAGCTCACAAACACACTCCTACAGATGTTTTCGCACTCAGCTCAGAGGCAGGTTTGACACACAAAGCCGTACGGCCCCGACAGCAACGCAAACACTCTGGTAAATTCCTTACTCCATGCACAGTGCCTGTGGATTGATGCTTCACTATGACTGTTGGTTTGATGGATGCCTTTTTTACTGCATATCATTCGCCTTGCTCTGGTCCAGTCCAGAGAGAACAATAAATGACCTCTAACTTAGGAGTCTTTGTTTATTCTCATGTAACTGCAAGAAGGAAAAAAAATGAATGAATGTTTACTTTCTAAAAGTGAAACTGGAGATTTGTCCATTGATGAGAAACAGTAACATATTTCAATCTTTAATCAATCTTTCTATCATGGTACCATATAACATGTGATCATCAAACTACAATGGGACATGCTATGCTGTACATCCTTTCTCTCCCCCCCAACAAAGACTGTTTGTGAGGGTGGGACAGCTAGAGAGAAGTGGATGAGCTTTAAGCCTCTTATTTCCACTAGAATTAGGGACGGACAGGCTTACCATTCAGTGGCTTTAAAACATTAAACGTGCAACCTGAACACGTAAAGATAATCGCGGCTATCTGGGAGAACGCATTGTTGCGCTCCAATTTCGAGATGTGTCGACATTTGGTGAAACCCCCGTTCGCGCGTGGCAGTAACGTCTATTCCAATCGTGGGCAAAAGAAAAAAAATAAGAGTCCATCCACCGGATGCGTGGATGACACCGTGCCCCCGCGCCACCACATCCACTCAGCCTCCTGTCTATCACAGCGATCTGCTGCTTCAGTTTGGACGGGGGGAAATCCTTAACTGAGTTGCGTCATAAATACGTCAATAAACTCATTCACAGGCGGTCAGGTACCACAGTAGCCGCCATATTCGCATCTATGGCAGGGTAGCGGTGCTCTCGGCGAGCGTATGATCCACTCAGCGGCATCAACGGTTCCCAGCGCCGTCCCCCCCCCGGATCCCGTCCCGATAGCGGTCCGCAGCTACGCAGCCTGCGAGTGAACATCAAAGCAGATCGGCCGGACTTCCACATAGGGGAAGGCATGCAACGTGGAGCGGGGGTCTAGGCGGACTACGATGCCTTAGACTTGGAGAGGAATCCTGGCACAAGATGGAGGTAAACAGCGTTAGTAGTGAGGTGAGTTGATAAGTGAGAGTTTCGCGTATCAATACCCCTTGGTTTTGTTTTTTTGCTCGGTGTTGTCCCGTTAAGTTAGCTTGTCCCGCGAGGCGGGGTAAAGCCGAAATTCGCGTCACGACCTGCAGCGCAACCGTGATGCATGCTAACATGCTAACCCGTGCTAACAGCTGGGTAGATGTTTACTTTATATGCACTGCCAGGGTTTATTAGTTTCATAGTTGCCTATCGGTGGGTTTGCCACATACATTCATTCCCGACTATGGCCCGCACTTCCCATCCAAAAATGTATGAGTTTCTCTCGGCTTCTGTTGTCATTTACTCCTCTCAAGAGGAGTTTGCTCCATAGCTAGCTTAGCGCATTAGCAGTAGCATGTGATAGCCTGCTAGCCGAGAGCTTGCAGGCTCCAAACTTGATTGCAAGTTTTATTAAACGTTCGCAACCTAACTATTACGGAACTTGGGAGGTGTTTCGTATGTTTTCGGCGAAAATGTAAATATCTGGGCCACGTTTGGGGAAAGTTTTCACAGTCGCTGACTTGTATTCGGCGAAGCCATTTCCCCCCACGGTGAATCGGTGATGCTGTTTTTTTATCTGTAACTTCGGTTTGTGAGCCACCGCAACACTTTGTTGTGTGACGATAAACAAAACCGACACATCTGAACTTCGATTAAGTGCTCCAAGAACGCGAAGATATAAAATTACTGCCCTGAGATACAATGGCAGCAAAGAAAAACGCACGTCGAGCAGCTGTCTCCTGCAGGTCGTCGGAGAATCCACAGTGACAGCAGTAGTTCTTATTCTCTCTTTCATGTGACAACCATGGAAATGCTGAGCTTTCTGGTCCACTGGCCTGGTGTTGAGAAGTTTTTTCCCACATGCCGTTTGACACAACCACACTAACTCTCTAAAGCTCTCCATTTCTGGGGGTCTTCACTTTATTCCGCCCGTACAATTCAAACTAGGGTTCGGTTTGTGTGAGTGGTTAAAAGGCGAGTGACAGGTGAAGCAGCCACTGTTGGTTCGTTTGCTTGAAACATTTCGCAACAACAACAAAAACAGAGCAGAGTTTGTTTGGTCGAGGTCAACTTAAAGGTTTCCTCTTTACGCAATCGCTCTAAAAAAAAAAATATTACCCCTTTTTCAAGTTTGTCATCACACCTCCATTGTGTTGCTGACCAGCTGCTCAGCCTGAAGGGATGTAGACACTTTGAGGGTCTTTTTAGTTTGTCATTTTGTTTGGCATAATCTTCAAGTTAGAGATCAACCATGGGCATTTTTTCTTTTTCTTTTTTTTTTTGCAAAGGCTGGAAAAGGCTGGCCTGGCTTTGCTGTGAGTGTGGGCTGCTCTCTGCTACAAGCTGTGATGAGCCACAGCAAAGGTGGGAGGGAGGATGTATGTGTGAATTATGACACAAGTGTTGCCCTGGCTGCAGGCCAGCCTGGATGTATTGTGTTGTGTGTCGCACATGAACCGAGGTCATCCTTTTGGAGTGCGTCCCCTGTCTTGTCCGGCTTTTTGAAGCGCTTACCTCGACCCGATTTTGAACGTTTATGCCTTCTGTGGTCGTTTTTTTTTTTTTCTCCTATTTGGCAGCAGGATATCTGAGAGTGGTTTGCTGGCCTGCGTTCTGTGGATGTGCACGAGTGTATGTCGGTGGCTCCACCCACTGAGTGGGCCTGTGTAGCGCTATGACTCATCCTCCCTCTTCAGTGCCTTGATGGAATTCAACACACACACAAACACACCAGACTGAATGCATAATACAGACTGAGCCTTACCATAGAATTGAAAAAATGTTTGACTTTGATGATGTTGTTTTAGACATGTATCCTTTATTTATGGACTGATTTACATTATTTACATTCAGATTCGCCTCTTTTTTTTTTTTTTTTTTTTAAACCCTCTGAAGTATATGTCTTTGCAGGATAAAGCAAGACTCGGTGGTGGTTCAAAATGATAATAAGCAGAAGAAAGCATGTAAACCCACTGTCGACTAGATCTGTAAACAAACAACCTTTTTTCTTCTTTTTTATATTTTTTTGGTCTTCAAGAGAAGGAATGCTGACTGTAGCCAGTCAGACATGTTGTTTTTGCTCTTGCAGGGGATTAAGCTAGAATGCTAATAATGAGGGGCTTTATGGGGGCAGAATGAGAGCCGGACAGCTGGACGGGATTAAAAGTATGGACTCCATACTGTTTGACAACAAATAGCCCTCCGTTTGGGAAAAGCGAGCGCGTGGTGTTGTTGCTCGTGAGTCATCGATTTCATCTGTTGAGTCTTCAGTCATACATGTGGGCGTGCGGCAGCTGCAGTCATGGTCCTGCTCAGCGAAAAACCCGGATGAATAAGCTTTGTGGAACTGTTTATCGCTGAGTTGGTTGCGAGGAGGGAAGGGAAAAACAAAAAACCTAAAAAAAAACTTGTTGATGTGGCCGCAGGTCAATGGACATCAGATCATGGACGAGCCCATGGAGGAGGGAGAGTCCTTCTCACACTGTGTAAGTACCTCTGCCCCGAGCTTTGCTCCATTGTTTTTCCTTTGTGCGTGCCTGTGTGCGTCTCCCATGTGGAAAAACCCACCGCCTCACACGCCGGCGCTTTCTCTTTAGGATGACGGGGCCTATAAGGAGATTCCCATCACCCACCATGTGAAAGAGGGCTGCGAGAAAGCCGACCCGTCTCAGTTTGAGCTGCTCAAAGTCCTCGGTCAGGGCTCGTTCGGCAAGGTGAGGGGAAAACTCGGCGTGTCACTTGATGCAGGCGTTATGGCCACGCCTAAACTGTCCTGTCTCATCTCCTCAGGTATTTCTTGTCAGGAAGCTCTTGGGTCCAGATGCTGGTCAGTTATATGCAATGAAAGTACTAAAAAAGGCATCTTTAAAAGGTAGTGTGTCGTAGCCTCTGCTTGGACTAAATACGTTCTGTCCACAGTGCTGAATTTCTTTCTTCTCTCTCCAGTCAGGGACAGAGTTCGCACTAAGATGGAAAGAGACATTTTAGTGGAAGTCAATCATCCCTTCATAGTGAAATTGCACTACGGTAAAATAAAATAAAAATTGATCTTTTGTAATATTGCGTGGGAGTGATGTGATATTACACCGTTATTAAACATGAAGAGATTGTAATCGGCTTGTTTTTTTGTTTTTTTCCCGCCCTCCCCAGCCTTTCAGACAGAAGGGAAACTGTATTTAATATTGGACTTTCTCAGGGGAGGGGACGTTTTCACTCGCTTATCCAAAGAGGTAAGCGGACGTTCTTTTATCATTCATCATATTGTGATTTTTTTTTCTCTTTCTTACATGTTTTTACAATTCTGTTCCATCTGAAAAGAACGCTTTACTTTACTACTCTTTATTCAAGAAGTAAAAAAAAAAAAGTGTTCTTTTTTTTTGTAAGTACCTTTTGAGTAAATTGAACTCGAAGTGTTTCAGTCACGTTTGTGATGATCACGATGGCAGATGCCGCGGGGCTTGTTCAGAAGCCCAGAGGAGTTGTTAAGATGACAGCTACAAATGGAACAGGTGCAAATTTAGCATGCAGGGATGTTTTATTCATTCTATTCACTAGCATCACCAAATCATTTGATTCCCCTGTTTTGTTTTGTTTTTGTTTCAAATCTCTCTTTTTTTTTTCTTTTTTTTGGTTGAATTCTTGTCTTGGAATGTTTTATTTGCTGTTTCCATCATCAGATACTTGGCACTTAGAGGCTCAGATCAGCTCGTTTCAAATGCTTCCAGGGTACTCAAACAATGTGCGATTGTTCTTGTCTTGAAAGTGTAGCTTCACATAGCCGAAAAACGGCAGCTGAACTGTGTAACCTGTTTGGAAATGTTTGCTGTGACAATGATGACGCCTGTTTTCTCCCTTTGTCCCAACTGAAGCGTAATATTGAAGTTGTGGTTTGTTAGTCCTTGTTGTTTTTTCCCTTTTTTTAGCTGCTGCTGAATTTCTCCTCAGCGTTCAGAGAGTAAATCTGTCCAGTTCTTATCAGGTTATGTTTACAGAGGAAGATGTGAAATTCTACCTTGCAGAGCTGGCCCTTGCCCTCGACCATCTGCACAACCTGGGCATAGTTTACAGAGACCTCAAGCCAGAGAAGTATGAATTACACCCCCCCACCCCCTCCATCACCACCACCACCACCACACACACTAAATCCACACTGGCCCCCTTAAAGAGGCGACCAAAACAAGTCTTTGCCGTCATGTATTCAGACGTGACCTTTTGGCTGACAAATTGAGCATCTTAATCGCCTCCTACAATCAAATGGCAGCAGACACTTTTTGTAGCAGTAGAGGTCAAATTTGGTTTCAAAATACATCTCCTGGTTTTTATTATGTGGTGTCTTAATGACGGTAAAAGTCCTTCAGCTTAATGGCTCACTGGAGTCCTGTTAGTGCTGGGCAGGTGATGCCGTTTTGGAGATAAACTCCCACTCCTCATTCAGTTTTAAAGAGGATTAAAATTGCAAAGAATTGTCCTTAAAGTACCGGTGTTCTTGAAGTTTTTAGTTATAAGGCATATTTATATTTGATCCTAATACACCTGTATTTATAATGAAAACAAAAAGCAAATAGTTTTTCAGTAATACGGTGAAGATGGAAAGGTGTGTTTAAAGAAAAAAAGAAAAAAGTGTAGCAGAGCGCCTGAATTGTTATACGTGTTCCTTGGGGTTTTAAAATGGTTGTGCGCATTTGTTTAAAATGTTATTTTTAGAATGAAAGCATAAGGGCATAACTGACATTAGTTTACATGGATTATAACCCCATAGATTAAAGTTTGAGCTCTGCCATTTAAACATAATGTGGCTTTTAGCAGAGTGTTCTAATTTCTAAGGTCGTTTATTTTTAGTCTTTTTCTTTTTTTTCCCCACTTAAAACCTTCAGAAACCTAAAATAATGTAAGCTCTTAGTTTTGGTATGTACGTGAAGGCTAACGTCTAAAAAAAATTATTTTTTTTTTGTCTTTCAGCATCTTACTTGATGAAGCTGGACATATAAAATTAACAGGTAATTTTTTAACTTCATGCTGAGATGCTGTTATTTAAAGGTGCTTTGTTAACTTATTCTTTTTTTTTTCATCTCACTTTTCTTTTTAAGACTTTGGCTTGAGTAAAGAGTCAGTAGATGCTGATAAGAAGGCTTATTCCTTCTGTGGTACGGTGGAGTATATGGCCCCTGAGGTGGTCAACAGGAGAGGACACACACAGAGCGCGGACTGGTGGTCTCTGGGAGTACTCATGGTACAACAAACGCGCACAAATCTGCGCCTGCGTGCGTTATCTGTGACATTTTCCCAGCCAGAAAAGATCAAATCCGTCTGACTGTTTGTGTCTTTCTTCTGAAGTTTGAGATGTTAACGGGGACATTGCCGTTTCAAGGGAAAGATCGCAACGAGACCATGAACATGATCCTCAAGTGAGTCATTGTGGGGGGGCATGAGCACGCGGCACAGAGGGTGTTATATTTTTTTCTGTTTTTTTTTTTTTCTCTGTGCCCACACTCACCCGTCACTCTGTGCTCCTCTTTTCCCCCTTCAGGGCCAAGTTGGGAATGCCTCAGTTCCTGAGTTTGGAAGCCCAGAGTTTGCTCAGAATGCTGTTTAAACGCAACCCCGCAAACAGACTCGGTAAGAAAAAGTTGGGTCTATTGTCATGGTGCGCAAAGCTCTCAGCCAAAGCTTGTTAACGATTCGGCGGCCAAGAGAAAGAATGCGTTGATCCCCTAAAAAAAAAAAAAAGAAAAAACAACAATTAAAAAAGAAAAAACATGGCAGGTTAACTGAACCGGGATGATTTGTGTCTTCAGGGGCAGGGCCCGACGGAGTGGAAGAGATCAAACGCCACGCTTTCTTTTCCACCATCGACTGGAACGTGAGCAAAAACACACACACACAAACACACACACACCTATCCCGCTCATTTCTCACAGATCCGCACATGCTAACAAAGAGAACTCCCCCAGCTTCTGTTGAGGCTTCACACCTACCAAACGTTTGGCCTGATGACTAGTGGCCATCAGTCCTGGCCACAGAAACTGTGTGTGTGTGTGTGTGTGGGAGTCTGGGCAGAGGTCCAGTTCTCACTGCGTGTGCTCTAATAGCCCTGTGTGAGTGTTTAAGAGCCAGCGGGATGCTGTTGGCTGGGCTTAGCTGTAGAGGGGATTGGAGGGGTTAATCTAAGAGGGGGCCTGGCTTCTGTTCCGTGCATGCTTACACACTCTCTTCAGCGGGCGGCGTCGATTGATTTCTAGGATTTCTAACTTATATCCGCGCGCCCGTGTTTCCCCTCAGAAACTGTACAGGAGGGAGCTGCAGCCTCCCTTCAAGCCTGCAGCAGGTAAACCAGATGACACGTTCTGCTTCGACCCAGAGTTCACCGCTAAAACGCCTAAAGGTACACCTCCACCTCCACCCACCTCACCAACAGCTGCCAGCCTTCTCGTTCCAAACATATCCCGTTGTTTGCTTGTTTTGTCTGATTATCTGATGAGTCAGTTGTATATTTAGACTCCCCAGGTATCCCGCCCAGTGCTAACGCCCACCAGCTCTTCAAAGGCTTCAGTTTTGTTGCACCAACCCCAATGGATGAGAACAAGAGCTCCCCGCTGCTCAGCATACTCCCCATAGTTCAGGTGAGCGGGCCCGTTGTTGCACCTGTAATGATCACATTATCCATTTACTTTCAGGGGGTTCCACAAAACTCATGTGTCTTTTGAGTGGTGAACAAAAAAGGCGCATGGAAGGGGGATTTCATTTACCACCAATACTGCCCTTGGCAGATTTTCAGGCCATAACAGGGTGGTCACTCAGCCGATTCCCCGCAAGGCATCTAAAGCACACATGCTTTCAGGGCGGAGCATTCTCTGTGTAAAGTCCATCTCATAAATGTCATTAGTTAAATTCAGGCAACTTTTGGCCTCAAATGCTCTGGTTTTCTGCTTTTAACTCGCTGTGCAATTGCCAAATCACAAATTAATAAAATTAGGGTTTCGCACATCTTTTTCTCTCGTCTGAGAAATCTCAGACATGTATCCAAGGTATCAAAGTCCTCCACCATATGTTTGTTTAGCAGGGAGTTTTAAATGGAGTTCAAGTTGCAGCTACTCTTGTAAATAAGCCAATCACCATGGCCAACATATATACATATATACAGTATATATACATACAATTGGTACATGAGACCATTCCAAGTGCTTTACAGCAAAAAATCTTAAAGGGTGGTGTACAACATAGTAAACGATTGTCAATTCGTCATTTAAAAGTTAATTCTGTAGGTAAAATACCTTCAGGTGTCCCACAGACAGCTGAATGGAACTGTTTTCAGCCTGGTTTTAAACATTGTCAGGGTTGAGGCTTGCCTCAGTTCTTCTGGAAGACCTCCAGATTTTAGAAGCATAACTCTGAAACAACCTCACCTTGTTTGATTCTGACTGCAAACTAGCAGAACACCAACACTTGAGGCTCTCAGAGTCCAAGCTGGTTTATACGGCTCTAACATATCAGAGGTGTACTTCGGAGCTACATGAGTAGAGCCGTTTTAAACTCCTATTAACAGGAAAAAAAGAAGAACCCTCTAAAGAAAGGGACCATCCTGTTTGATTATCAGCATTTAAGACAAGATGCCAGTGCAGACGCACCAAAATGACTCCTGTCCATTTTCAGATGCACGGAGGATCTGCCAAGTTCTCCGACCTGTACGAGTTGCAGGAGGACATCGGGGTGGGCTCCTACTCCATTTGCAAACGCTGTGTGCACCGAGTTTCCACCATGGAATACGCTGTGAAGGTACCGCCCGCACTCTCATTCGGAATAGAAGTCTCTCGACATCCAAATTAAAAGGATGGATGAAACTCTGAGTTGATTTGGCTTAGTTTTAGGTGCCTAGAGGCCGTATTCAGTGAGTTTGAGTATCTGAGTTTAAATGTCAAATATGACCTCCGTGGTTTGGACACCAGTAGAGGGCAGTGCGGTCGACAGTATGCCACAATACAGTAGAACCTCTACATACGAATTCAATTGTTCCGGGACCTACGTCATATGTTAAAATATTCATATTAGAATACACTGTAATTCGTTCCACAGCCCCAATAACTCCTTAATAAATACTGCAGATAATTACACATAGCAATGAAACAAATGCATTATAAAAGAGAGATGTAAAAATAAATAAATTATAAAGAAATAATCGATAAAAAGGGCTTTTTATTGGCACATTACCTTAGAGACTAGCAAACGGAGGTGTAGGCTTAGTGATGCAGGAGACGCCCGGTGTGGAGGTCGAGGCAGTGACTGAGATACAGTACATACCATAACATATTCTAACTTTCACTACCTGAAGTTTAAACTATTTATTTTAATTTTATTTTCATATGTTTCTGTGAATTCGACGTCATGTTGGAAATTTACTTCGGGATCGAGTCGAATATTTGATCAAATTTCCCTTAGTATGTTGGAAAATGTGTATGTTTAGGCAATTGTAAGTAGAGGTTATACTGTGCTTTGGTGTTTTTTCCTATTTCTAATAATTTCTTTTGTCTATTTTGGGTTTTTCTCAGATTATAGACAAAAGTAAGCGGGACCCCTCCGAAGAGATCGAAATCTTGATGCGATACGGACAGCACCCCAACATCATCACTCTAAAGGATGTGAGTGGGATTTCAGACGTCCTCACCCAGAAGAGCGCCCCCGCAGCCGCGCCCTGACCGGCCGTGTGTGTGTGTGTGTGTGTGTGTGTTGCAGGTGTACGACGAGGGCAGGTATGTGTACCTGGTGACGGAGCTGATGAAGGGCGGCGAGCTGCTGGACCGAATCCTCAGGCAGAAGTTTTTCTCGGAACGGGAGGCCAGCGCCGTGCTGTACACCATCACCAAGACCGTCGACTACCTCCACTGTCAAGGGGTGAGGAAACGCCGCCACAGGCGCGCCAGCTCGATGGAACTCTCAGTGGCTCCGTAATCATCCCCTCGGCCCTTTTCCCCTCCCCCAGGTGGTGCATCGAGACCTGAAACCCAGCAACATCCTGTACATGGACGACTCGGGGAACCCCGACTCCATCAGAATCTGTGACTTCGGCTTTGCCAAGCAGCTCCGCGGAGGCAACGGCCTGCTGCTCACCCCTTGTTATACCGCCAACTTCGTGGCACCAGAGGTGAGACTGGCCCTGATGAAAGCAAAGGGAAAAAGACGGCGGCTAGGGGAGGGGATATAAGACGGGATACCCAAAACATAACATTCAGCATGGTCATGCATAATAATTATGATACATTAAATACCAATTGTGTTTCTCTTGAAAGGTACTAATGCGACAAGGGTATGATGCAGCCTGTGATATATGGAGTCTCGGAGTTCTACTGTACACCATGTTGGCGGGGTAAGGGTGTGTTTAGAAGTGATCGGGAAGAATCAGTTGGTAACGGAGCATCCAAGAAAAAAGAGGCACTGATACTAAGACCTGAAAAAGTAAGATTGTATTTTCTTAACCTCCAGTTTTTTTGTTTTGTTTTTCTCTTTCTTTCAGGTACACGCCGTTCGCCAACGGACCCAACGACACACCGGAGGAAATTCTTTTGCGGATAGGCTCGGGAAAGTTCTCGCTGACAGGCGGCAACTGGGATACCGTGTCAGACACCTCAAAGGTGAGCACACCAGCGCATCTGAATAGGCTTTCAAAGCCCTTCTGTACTGTGAGCGACCGTAACTCACCCCCTGTCTCCACTGTGGTTGTAGCATGTTTGAATTAGAGGGGCCATCCGCCACTTTTCTTTTAATGTTTGAAGGGGAATGCAGGAAAAAGGTGCAGAAATTCACTGAACTGTGCAAAGATGAAAGAAAAAAAATTCTTTGTGAGGAGTCAGTGCGATTGGTCTGAGCTCCTTTATGCTCAAACGCAGCCTGAACCCTCTTAGGCAAGCTCTCAAGCCCTCTGTCATTCCATTAAGCAGTCCTCAGGACTAGTTCTCCTGGCTTCCTGAAGGACATTTCAAAGCTCTTCTTTGGATGTTGGCCACCTTTTTGTTCGGTCCTCTGTCAGATGATGCCACACTGCTTCACTAATGAAGTCCAGCCTCTGGGGAAGTTTCATTACTCCATTAGACCTGTTGCCTCTGATTTTCAGTCCACTTCTCGTTTCATTTGGCATAGCTCAGCCTTTTCTCCCCATTTCCCTTCCTTAAGAATTGGGGCCATCCTTCCATGGAGGCCGCTTTTGATGTGAGAAATGCCCGAAATGCTGTTTTGTTTTTGTTTTTTTTCCTCCTGTCAGATTGTTTGTTTGATCCTGGAGATATTTTTGCTGATATAACTAAATGCATAGAAACAATTTATCTCTGTTTCTATGTTTTTTTAAACAGGTTTATTCCATTAGTTGGGCGCTTACTTGCTTGCTTGAATGTTTTGTCAGTCAGTATTAAGTCGCTGGACAAACAAAAGTGGAGGTCCTTATAAAAAATGGTACAAAGTACAGTCACTGAACAGGAAATGAGTTTTTTTTTTTTTAAGCAGCCAATGCCCTCAGAGTCCTCTCTGCATGTTTTCTTTCACTTCTCCCTAAACCACAGCATTTTACAGAGCTTGTTTCTTGGCACGTCTCTGACCGGATCCCTTTGTATTTCTGTATGCTACAGGACCTACTGTCCCATATGCTCCACGTCGACCCTCACCAGCGATACACGGCAGAGCAGGTTCTAAAGCATTCCTGGATCACCTGCAGGGACACACTACCACACTTCCAGCTCACACGCCATGACGCGCCACACCTCGTCAAGGTGAGTCCCTCAGCGGTTCCAGCTCACAGGCCTTTATGTGCAGGACCATTTGTAAGGTTGTAGGTTGTCATAAGGAGGGAGTAGCACTGCCAACGTGCTTTTCTGCATGAGTTTTGAAGCATTCGTGGCTTTGTTTAACCTGATTTGGTGTGCCTGAATCCGCCTGGCACCACGTCGTCACAGTGTCTGTGCCTCTTGATGGAAAACAAGGATCCTTAGTGACTCATAAACCTCGGAGCTCATGTCAAGCTAACCCCAGGTCCTGCTCTCCGGGCCTTGACATCCCTCCCGCTCTTCCCGGTGCACATTAAATCGAGGTCGTGCCGTGTTTTTATTGCCCGATACTGTGTCTTGATTAAGTGCCGACAACACCGTTGCCAGGCAACTGATAAGGACGAACCTTTCTTGTTGTGTTGTTTCGCATTTAGCATCGTGAAAAAAGTGAAACAACAACTTCCAATCAGCTAATGGAAGGACCTTTGATTCAAGTTGGCGTTCGGCCTCATTATCGGGTGATGTTTTTGATCTGGAAGCTGACGTCTTTCAAGCTGAAATCCGAAGCTTTCTCCAGTTGCTAATGACTTAACCTGAAGACACCACAGGTCACAGTAAAAGCAGCAGAGCCGTTCTCCTTTTGACCTCCCTCTAGTCCACTATACAGGGTCCAGCACTCAGCTGAGTGCTACCGCCAGAGGCGGGTCAGTCTGATGCTTTCAGATACTCCTGTCCTCTTTTACAAGTACACATCGTGCCCACATCGTTCTTTATCAGCCAGAGAGTGATATGGAGGAGACACTCGGAAAAGAAGTCTTATTGAGCGGGCGCTTCTTCTTCGAGTGGGCTTTCTGTGTCCTGTGATCCATCCATTCACATCATGAGCTGTAGCCACGAACTTTTGATGGTTTTGTCACAGCCACTGAGACTTAATACAGTTAAAATAGGTGGACACTTCCCAACATTTAAAAATAAATAAATAAATAAAAATTGACATTTTGCATCTGCCAAGATGCGAAAGTTTGGGTCAGTCAGGGGTCCTGACTCGGAGAGATGTCGGCTTGGGTTTGTTTGTAAGCTGCTGAGTGAGATTAGAGTTAAAGTTTGCCACTCAGTTATTTATGTGCTTTAAGGGAAAAAAAGAGGAACATTATTAATGTAAAAATAGAAAAAGAAGAAAGGATCGGTTGTCCAAGAGATGAACCAACAGTCTGTTAAGATTTTAATTTAGTGTGACTCTATCATCCTTATCAGATCCTAAGATGAGGTTGATATAGCCTGAAATCAACAAAACATTATGTTTTACAGCATATCATTATTTATCAAATTGAAGCAGAATGCAGAAGCAGCAACTGAAAAGCTGTTGTTTGGTTTATATTCCATGGGTAATTCACTTGTTGTAAAGGAGGAAAGACATCAGCACTGAACCTAGAGAGGCATGTGATACTGTCCACAATCTGGGATGGGTCAAAAGTGCAGATCTAAATCATCATTTCACAGAGAGAAAGAGTGGAACACATGGAAGACAGTTTTCCATCATCCCAGTGGGGTCAAACCAAAGAGAAATTTTGCTGTCGGGAATATATTTTTTCCATCTTTTTTTTTTTTTTCAACATGATTTAATTTTCAGAAACAACAACGGAAAATAAATAACTCCCTCTGGAGGCATTTAAAAAGCTGCCGGGGAAAATAGAAACACACATCTACATCCACATCCTATTTCGGGGCAGCAACAGCAGAGGGCTCCAAAAGACCGTGCTTTTTATTCCTAGTTTTTACAGAACACAAGACACTTCAACTATTTTACAGTGGTTAAAGCATAAGTAACGTCCCAAAGCTAACCTGCAGCACCCCTCTGTTTCCATAGTAATGAGCACAGCCTCTCTCTCTAAAAATAAAAGAATGAATGGCAGTCATTGAGAACACTGGGCTAACAATACTTTTTCTTTGTGTTCCAAAAGTATTTTAGAGTTAGATATATTGGATCTGACAAGCCTGGGAAAGGAAATGATCAAACCTCCGCATCGGTCCGGTCCCGTCTGTGGCTAACGCTGTGCTCCCCTCGTTGCCTTGCAGGGAGCCATGGCCGCCACCTATTCCGCGCTGAGTCAGAAGACGAGTCAGCCGGTGTTGGAGCCCGTTGCAGCATCCAGTTTAGCCCAGAGACGCAGCATGAAGAAACTCACCTCAACCGACATGTAGACACGCCCACCCCACCCCACCCCACCCCACCCCCTTCTCCAGTTTGGGCCTCACTCAAAGCCACAGATAGCAAAATGCGCATGCAGATGCTCAGACCCAACTCTTTACCAGTCCAAACTACTGTCTCCCCAACCCCCTTTTTTTCTTTTATAAAGATATTTATTTGACAAATCCAGCGTCGGCACTCACACTCAGCAGAAACTTGGTGACCGCAGAAGAAGAAGAAGAAGAAGAAGATGGGAATCACACATATCTGTTACAGCTGGGGAGACAGACTTTGTATTTATTTCCACAGCTTTCATATGCACTTGCCCTCCTCGCCTTTCGGTCTTTCTTCCCCTCGATGGGAAGAAACACACCAGCTGATGTTCTCCTTCACTGTGATTGGCTGATTCAAAGCTGCTTTGGTAAACTGTGCCCCCCTCCCTCACTGCTCTTCATCGTCACTCTGCCATCCTCCTCCTCAGTTCTCTCTCTCCCCCTTCCCATGTTTGCTTTTGCTATCTTGAACTTTTTTTTTCTGAAATGGAACTTCTGGTTTATGTTGAAGGTGCTGATAAGATGATATTGACTGAGGTACATGGCAAGACTGTTTGAGAGTCGAAACAGGAGAAAGTCGGCTATTTCAAAAAGTCCCTCAGACCCAAGATCACTTAGCAGCACTTTTTGGAACATAAAAGCATGTTTGGACAGAACCCGTTATTCCCTTTACGCTTCAAGACCTGGTTCAAGTCCCACTATTTTCTGCTCCTAGTAATGTTTTCTAATAAGGTGATATAAGCTGCAGATGGATAATGGAAAAAAGATAAAGAACTTGAAGGCGAAACAATGTGGTAGTGATACCAGAGTCTCTTTTGCTAAATATATATATATATCTATATATATAGATAGATATATATGTAAAATATATAGAAACAAAGGTTTATGATGGTGAAGATGAAGAGCATGTGAGGGAGATGTAGGTATTTCTCTGGGGGGGACGGGACGCACCCCGTCAAACCAGAGAGCCTGAATTAAAGAAAATATTTCCATGGTTATCTCTTCAAAAAGACATTGTGGAAATTGTATGATATTGTATTTATTTCATTTGATTTTTAAGATTCTATTTTTCTTTCAAGTTCTGTATATATTGACATTAAAGATCATTATTGACATGCATCGGTTGTGGTCTAATATGTCCTAAAATCGACAGGCTTTTTATAAATGAAAGAGCCAAGCCCCCAAAAAAGAGTGAGATAATGCTGATAGTTGACCATATGTTGAAGTAGAATGTTGTTTTACATGGTTATCAAACCATGCACATTTTTTTTATTACAAAAGCTTTACAATATGTATTATGTATGTTTTCAGTCAGATTTGGTTAAATGGCAAAAACCAATTTATTTTAAATCTAAAAATGAATATGAATAATGTATTATGTAGCATATATATAAGTAATTCATTCATTAGCTTGGTGTTCACCTGTAACAGACAACAATCTGAAGTTGCACCATGTTAATAAGAGACATTCCTAATTCCAAATTCTTAAGTTACATTAACAAAGCTTTATTTTTTTAGAAAAGGAAATGGTATTTAAATACAGAAATCATTATCTTAGACAGGAAATTGACAATTGGAGAACAAAGGAAGAAGTGGCTAAAGGAAGGGACCATCGGGAGGGGGGGCCTTCCCTTCCCAAAGGTCCAGCAGCTCCTGTCCTCCACTTCCAGATGTTTACAGACTGTTGTTAAGGTCAAATGAGGTGTTGGACTGTGTGGCCTCATCCTAACTATTTTGAGGTCTATTGCTGCTTTTAAATTCAAGTGGTCAAAGATCAAACTTTAAAAAATTGCAGATTATCTCTCTCTAATGAAGCTTTGATTTATTTCTATCTAACTGGTTTATGAGTGTCTTGAATTGCAATCTTATTGTGTCAACACTTTACTCAGAATTGAAACTTTTTGGGACATATATGGGTTATATAAAAAGAGTGGCCCGGGACTTTTTCACAGAGCTGCCTATCAGCGCAAATCTGAATCAAAACACCTCTGAGGGGTTAAAGTGTTTTTCATCAGATTCCGTTTCGACTGAACCCTCGAAATCATCCAAACATCCGCAAGCTGCTTCCTCTTTTGATGAATACCAGTCGAATGCAGGGGGGTGTAGCTACCACTAGGTGGTAATAATGTCCAGTGCCTTAGTTACAGCTATACACACACGCAGCTTGCCATGGGTGTGTGTCCTACCCTTATGTAAATGATCCGTCTCGCCTGCTTCCATTTTGTCTGTCCGGCGTCCCGCCCAGGCCCCCCCTTGGGAATACGAGCCCGTCTAACCAGTGGTGTGTAAAGGAGAAAACGTTTGCCTGCGTGCGTGTGTGTGTGTGTCTGACAAGACAGCAGAGGATGCGGATCTAAAAGCAGATGGATGGAGGGAACCAGGCCTCCCCTGCTCCTCACCAGCTGCTGTCCCAGCTCTGGCCCGTCTAAAGCCGACTCCACGCGCTGCTCTTCTTCCTCCCCCTGGATCAGATTGCGGCCTGCGCTCGGGCCCGGGGAAGCTGGGAGGTAAACAGTGGGGCTAATTGCTTTGACATATTGCTCTTTGTTTTGGCCCTCCTGGTGCTAATCAACCAGTCGGCTAATAAGTCTGCCTGGCAGGGTAAAAAAAAACGCCGGCGCTCGGCCCGGGCCAAGAGGAGGCAAAGTGTGGCGAAAGTCGCACTCGCAAGGCCCCTCGCGGATGGCTAGCACCCCGCTCAGGTGTGAATCTATTTATCCTCATTAACGAGCGTCTCCCCAAAGTCAGCCAATTAACACGCCGCTCCTAATGAAGCCATTAGCTGTCAGATGAGGTAGCGGCGGCGGCGCCTGTCATCGGCCCGCCGCGCCGGCGTGTGTGTTTGTGTGTGTGGGTGCGGATCCACTCTTGCCGCTAATAAAAGCACGAGAATTAATGGAGTGAGCGTGTGTGATAATGAGTTAACGTGGAACAAGCAGGACGAGCACTGATCAGGCCCTCTGTCTCAAATGAAGATATCAGACACAGTGATTTACTCGCTCTGTGCCGTAAACAGGCCTGCCTCCTCCTCTGTGTGTGTGTATGTGTGTGTCAGCTGGAAGTCTGGTGAAAGCCAGTCAAAAAGTGTGGCCTTTGAAAAAGGAGGTGTGCATCCATGTGGGACCACCTGGTATCACATCCAGAAGCCCCCGAACGGCAAACGGCGGCCGTCACTTTGCGCTCTTCAGCATCGCTGCTGTTTGATCAGAGGCAGCTGCTCCTCTGACACAATAGTACAATTAATTCTGTCACCGAATCAGTCTTTTTCCCCCCTTTCTTTTTCAATTGAGATAACAGGGTTCACGCTGGGTCTCCGAGGCTCCAGTCATCTAAGAAAGTGAAGAAAAGAAAAAAAAAAACCTCACACATGGAAAGTACAATCTTGCCAGTAGCAAAAAGCTGAGAAGAATTCCATTTGGGTTTTTTTTTTTTTTTTTTTTCCTCCAACAAAGAGTCTCATTTTAATTTTGGGTTCATACGCCTGAGTGTTCTGGGTGTCTCACGGTGCCCCACCCCCCCAGCCTAAAATGCATCCCAGCCATGTGAGGGGATTCCAGAAGTCAGGATGTGAAATTGATTTTAGGTTACGAGATTAATCCCGCCGCAGAGGCCTGTGTCTTCTCTCCTCCTCTCCTCGTTCGCACCACTTTCTTCCCCTCCGGTCTCCTGTCGACTCAGGGCCAGCTGTCCTACGACGCATTATCAATACCAAAAAGAGGTCCTCTGTCCCCTCAGGTGATCGGTAATCAGCTCGGGTCCGTTTCACGGAAGACTATTGGTCGTGTACACGTGCACAGAAAGTGTGTGTGTGCGCCCGCCGACTCTACAACAAGTGTGGAACGCTTTGCCCAGCACTGTTTGTGCAATGTCAGTGTGCAGTTTGTGGAAAGAAAAGAAAAAAAAAGGGGCATTCCCAGCCAAATTCAAGCTTCTCTCTTTCTCTCAGGGTGAAGAAGAAAAGATCTCTTAAGTTTAAAGTCTTGGCAGGTTTGACTTTATGCAAGGGCGAAGAGTGTGTTGACTTTTTGTTTTGGCATGAAATGATGCAGAGTTTGATTCTTGACCACAAAAGGCAACTCCAAACCCTTTGATATCCTTTTTACCCCGACTGTACTCTCTGTTTTTGAAGGCTGGGGGACGTGGACCTGCAGGTTTCCGTAAACCAGTTTTTAGACGTTGTACCTCAAAAAACTGGTTTACAAATTGGGATAACAGGGTTCAAGCTGGGTCTCTGAGGCTCCAGTCATCTGAGAAAGTGAAAAAAAAAAACCTGGGGAGAAAGCATTGGGCGGTGGTCCCTCTCTAGAATTTCATATTTTCACCATGAAGTTTCACCTTTTGTGTGAAAGATGGCATTGATTATGGTGTCATTACTCCATGTCAGCAAAAAAACAACAAACAACGACATGTTTGCTTTTTTTTCTCACAGCTGGAATTTAAAGGCTTAAGTTTAAAAAAACTCAGTTCTGTTTACATATATATATATATGTGTGTGTAAAGTTTTTAAATGATTCACTGCTTCCTTTGCAAAGTTCTATGTTAGGATGATTGGAAAATGCCAATCTGGAAGGAGTTTTCCATTTATTTTCCTTTTTCTTTGAAAGAAAAAGCTTTTTTTCTTAGTGCTCACATTTTGTAGCAACTCTGTGCTTAACCCTAACTTTTGGATGATTCCATCTGATGTTTTTTCACCTCAGGCAAGAGAGTTTACCAGAAATAACCAACCCATCAATGGCAGACACTGCTGTTTTTTTAGTTTTTCTTAGATGTTCTAATACCGACGAGGAGTCATTTGACTATTATAACACACAGCAGAACACACGGAAGTTGGACATACATTTCTAAGGGCTGCACAGACATTTTTCTGGACGCTTTGGTTGGTTGGAAAAAACGCAGAGGTCATGTCAAGTCAACCATTTTGGACATTTTTAGGTTGGGGAAAGAAAAAAAAAGAGACTAAATTTGCATCCGGCAGTCAGACAGCCACGAACAAAACAGCTTCCAAAATTCCTCATTATCGTCCCCTCACGTGAGGCTGCTGTTTGCTTCCTGTCTGCGTTCGGCAAACACACTCCGGCGCCGTGCTTCACTCCTGTCTAATTAAAGAGAAATGTGACGTTGAGTGTCCTTTCTTTGACCCTCTGCCTTGCTGGTTTTACTGCCAATAGTACATCAGTGTCTTATTGACACTCTGGTGCCTTCCCAAAACGCATTTATTCACTTAATTGACCTTCGGAGATTTTTCTTAGGGGGAAAATAACACTGTTAAAAGCTTTGGGAAACTGTTCATTTCGAACAATTTGGGTGTTTCTTTTAGTCTTTTTGTTGTTGTTTTTTTGTCTTCATCCGTTCTATTCAAAGTCTTTGAAAGGGGACACAGACTCAATTCAAAGAGAACAGAAGGTTTCGGATGAGGTGAGGCCGCCACTGTCCCCCTGCAGGTAAACAAACCAACAAAACCTCCCCCCCCCCCCCCCCTCTTGGTGGTCGTGCTCCTGTCTGATCATCAGTGCACACTCACTTCTGAGTGGGATTCGGAAGCTCAGCCCTTTGCCAAAAAGCAGAACCGAGCCTTCCCAGCCAAAGCATTTTGCAGAAATAATTAGCCGAAGTTTTTCATTTAAGGCCTCTGCTTTCATCTCACACCTGTCATAGGTGCCTCGCGCTTTTTCCCAAGTCAGTCTCTTCTCGTTCACTTCTCTGAATCCACCTATGAGTTTCCTTTAAAGCGGTGTTTGGGGGCTGCTGGTGGAGAGGTTTGTTTTCCCCCTCTGCGTCCAGACTTTTGCTGGAGCTCTGCACTGAGAAGGTTGAAGAGAGGCTCAAGGACTCCTGAGTGCGGATCCCTGGACCTCGGCTTGCCGGGCCCGTTTCCCTGGCTCCTCTTCTTCTCCCCACCCCGAGAAATCAGGGATTATTTCAAACTCACACGGATGGATGGAATCAATCGGCCATGGCTTTTACTTTTCCTCTTCTTCTACATAACCGCCCTCTTTCACCTCCAACCTCGCACCCTTTTCTCCCTCCCTATCCCCCCCCTCTCTCTCTTTCTCTCTCTCTCTCACTCTCTCTCTCTGTCTCCCCCACCCCCCTCTCAGAGCTGCAGACTGAGGAGATGCATAAATTCAAACACATTAGTATTCCAGTCAGGCTCTCCATTTCAAGGCAAGGCCTAGCACCCCTTCCGCCTTCTCTCCTCTCCTCTCTCCCCTCTTTTCTTTCACCCTCCCTCCCCGGATCTATTTTTGAATGACTTAAAACAGCAACTGCATCCACGGTCCCGACTTATTTCCACCCCATCCCTAAATTATTTCGAGGCAAACCCCCTTTTTTTCTTTTTCACATTTATTTACGCGAATTTGCTCCATCTCGCCCTGGCACGGCCAATTATGCACAGCTGTAGTCTTTGAAATGAGATTCATCTGCTTCTGATTGTGTGTGTGTGTCAGTGTGTGTGTGTGTGCGCGCGCGTGTGTGTGTTTGAGTCAGCGTGTGTGTGTCATTGTGTTTTGCTGTCAGGCCCAGCGGCCCGGGCGATAAATCACGCATGTCTGATTGAGGAGGGCAGAGGGCCCGGACAATAACATTTGAGTGGAGCAGCGGGAGAAAGCGGCTCAGTTTTGCTGTGATCCACAGAGCCCAAGGTCCTACAGGCGAGAGAAAAAAAAAACTCACTGCTGTCGGTGGCATTCAAAAAAATGATACAAGTTTTCGCCTTTTTACGCGACACCTAAGGCTGTCCTGCTGGAGGAACATCCCCAAACTTGTGCATATGAATAAAGCCCAAACGTCTTTAAAGCGCAACTTGGAGATAAAAAAAACCCCGCAGCGACTTAAAGAGGAAAGAGTTTTTGTGCAAAAAAAGGAAAAAAAGAAAATAAAAAAGCCTTACATTTGCTTTACAATCACATTTCCATTATTATTAGAGTGCTGTTCGTTAAGATATAAGGAACCCTTATTGCAAAAGTCATCCACCCCCCCACCCCCCCTTTTAAGGTCTGCACGTCACTTCGCTAATTTTGTATTCAAAATCCTCAAACAACACTACATGTTATTGCTGGGCAAACGTGGAGATATTTTCCTACATGTTTATAGACTGTAAGTCAATGAAGTGTCTAACCTGCATTTTGCACTCATGAAACTTATGACTAATGGAATAAATCACAAGATAAAGACATTTTTCTTTAAAGTTTTACATTTTAAAAGCACTTTGAATAAAAAAATTATCTTTCAAGTCGATATTGCTTATTGCTTCAATAATGATGATAATAATAATAACGATGACAATGATAATGTGGCTAATTTCTCACTCCTGAAAATTCGTCCAATTTTCTTTTTAGACAGTGAACAGTTGTATCATGAAACCTTTTATTACAACATACATTGTTTATTTAAAAAACATAATAATACAAGTTTTTTTTATACTGAAAATAAATAATTACTTGAGCTGTCACCGTAATTTGGAGAAAAACCGCCGAAACAGTTCGAAGTTACTGCAAATAGGTTTGTTTGTTTAGCTTTTTCAAGGATTATTTGTTTATTTATTTTCCCCAAACGTTGCTAATTAAGTGCATGAATAACTAACAGCATTTTTGTTTAAATTAATGACTTCAAAATGGTAATATATATAAAACTGTACAATATTGGGAAAAAATACTTAGGAAATAAACCAAATAACAGGAATATTTGAGATTATAAAAATTGGTTTTCCTTTGTTTTTTCCCCCCCTTTTTTGATACTGAACGTACATTAAAATTATAGGCAGGTGTGTAGCGTCGTCAACCCCTTCTTTCCTATTTCGGCTCTGCTTCAGAGTCCACACAGTTTATGTGGTCGAAGATGATTGAAATCAATCTTTAAAAGCTAAAATAAAATAAAATAAAATAAACAAAACAAACAAAAAGATTCACAAACGGCTGGAAGCTACAGGCCGCCGTGAGGAAGGAGCTGAACACAAAATCCTGCAAGTGCTATTTATGTTGCAGTACCTCTACAACTGGAGTGACGGCCTATGTTTGCATAATGCAAAAAAACAAAAACAAAATAATAATAATTACAGGCTGGCTACTAGTATGTTACAAAAATAATGAGTGTAAATATGGTGAGAAATCTAAGCCCGAGGGGAAGCGGGAGGTGGACTGTAAAATGATTTAAAAAAAAAAGAGAAATAGCCTCTGGTCCTGCAACAAATCAATTAAGGAAAAGTGAGATCAACCTCAACGTTTGCTTTACGTCAAAACAGAAAGCAACCCAACAACAAGTTTAAAAATAAAAAAAGCAAAAAAGCATCAGTCCCGTGTTAAGAGTCATTACAGATCTGACGGTGGAAACGGTGACACAAACCAAAGGCGCTGGCAGGTAAATATATAGGCACATTTTTTTGTATTCATATCCGTGAACTTGGAAAAAAAAACAACAACGTGGCGGGGCTCCAGAAGTGACCTGAAATGGGATGTGTGATGGAGTAATGCCCCCATGACAGTTAGAAAAAGGACGAAAGGCTGAGCAGGTATATCTCTGTTATTGTTGTGGTTCTCAGTGCTGGAGGAGTCTGTACCGGGACTGTGTCCGTGCCGGGTGCGTGTGTGTGTCTGTGTGTGTGTGCAAATGTTAGGGTATGGGGTGGGGGGGCGACGGTCATCCCCTCCAGAGGCGTCGGTCAGAGGTCGTGGCACGAGGAGGCGTCCCCCGCGCTCCCACTGTGAGAGTACGGCCCCTCGTGCGGCGGCGGCTCCCCGGGCGGCGTCATGCGCTTCTCCTTCTGCCTCCGGTTGCAGAACCACACGCGCACCACCTCCTTCTCCAGCTGCAGCGTGTCCGCCAGCGACGTGATCTCCTGCGCTGAAGGTTTGGGACACTTGAGGAAGTGCGTCTCCAGGACCCCCTTGACGCTCACCTCGATGGACGTCCTCTTCTTCCTCTTCCTGCCCTGAGCCGCGATCTTGTCTATGCTGCTCGAGCTGCCCGTGGAGGAGTCGGCCTCCTCCAGCCACTTGTTCAGCAGCGGCTTCAGTTTGCACATGTTTTTAAAGCTCAGCTGCAGCGCCTCGAACCTGCAGATGGTGGTTTGGGAAAAGACGTTGCCGTACAGCGTGCCCAGAGCCAATCCCACGTCCGCCTGCGTAAAGCCCAGCTTGATGCGCCTCTGTTTGAACTGCTTGGCGAAGTGCTCCAGCTCGTCCGAGGTCGGCGTCTCCTCGTCGGAGTGGTCGTGGCAGTGGTGGCCGCCCAGCTCGCTGTGCTCGGGGCTGAGCGTGTCCCTGAGGCCCGGGTGCATGCCTTGGCCCTGCGGGTTGGGCGGAGGCGTGAGCCCGCCGTGGTCCAGCATGCCGTTGACGGTGAAGCCCGCCTGGGAGTAGATGTTGATCTGCTGCCCGCTGGTGATGGACGAGTTGTGGGACACGGGCGTCCCCCAGGCTCCCGGGTGGTTGTTGTGATGCGGGGAGTGATGCGCGACGTGGGGGGAGCGGTGATGGATGATGCCGAGCTGCAGGTCCTCCCGGCCCGGCTTGATGTCCTGCTGCTCCATGGAGGTCGACCAGGGGCTGCCCTCGGGAAGGCTGGACGCCCACTGGTGCGCGAGGGGGTGTCCGTTGCTCTGGACGCTCTGCAGGTAGTCACTCTGGAGGAGTTTCTGGTGGCCTCTGTAGGGGCTCGCAGGCTGCATGGCCTGGCTGTCCGCGTGGATCATGGAGCTGGGGCTGAGCAAGGTGTAGGGGCTGGAGGCAGCTGTGGCCATGCTGGCTGCTGAACCCCACTAATGCTACTGAAGGAAGGCAGCAGCTCAGACTCTGACATCTCCCTCTCTCTCTGGAGTCTCGGCAGCAGCCCCCCGCCACTGACTGACAGCCTCCAGCACCACTCACCATCCGAGTGACGAAACCGGCCCCCACCAATAACGAGCGCGAGATCTCCAAAACCGCCGCCTCTGGAAGCCAAGCGACAAGCAGGGAAGGGGTTGCGAGCAGTAGAACCGGAAGTGTGTCGTAGCGTTGGTCCACGGGGTCTGGCTGTGGAGTGATGTGATCGTGGAGCGCAGTTCCTGTTTATTAATTAAAGTTTCCAACTGATTTACGCGCGGGTTTATTGCCGCTTCAGTCACCCTCGACCGCGTGCAAAGAAAGAGATTAAAGTGGAATGGCATTTCTGAGACGTGCCAGCACTTAAATGAGAGGAATACAATCAAACTAAGAGTAGTTTTCCCTACTAATTATTAACTCAAAGAGAACATTTAGTCAGGTGTTTGTGGAAACTCTGTTTTTACGCACGTAATTTTACGCACGGTTGTTAAAAACAAAAAGAACATTTTGACCAAGCATGCAGGATAATAAGGCTAAAACTGCAATGTTTCAGTCTCTGAAACATCGACAAAATATTAAAAGTTAAAAAGAATTCTGACAATGCCCCTTTTTCAGCCGACATAGTTTCTTGTGACAATTTGACAACGCCATGCCCAGATTTCTTTAGTGTTGTGCAACGAGTTGCTCGCTTCCAAAGTCATTTTTTTAATATCTATTTACATATCTCTGAGCTGACTTGGCTGTCTAATTATGTTTGCCATTAGAAGGCAGCGTCACAGTCCCCTTATTGGTTTGAAATTCCATTAAACATATTGCTCCAGCTCCCAGGTTAAGCTTGATTTAAATTTGCATACATTTTCATACATTTAGGAGAAATAAAAGAAGGCTGCAGCCACCAGAAAGTCATTAAAGAGCGCCGCGCCGAGCCACGAGCTGCCTGGCGGGAGACGTGTGAGCAATCCAGAGCAACCCGGAGCAGGTGAGCCGACCGGCGGGCTGGAAGAGGGGTTCGGAGCCGGTGGAGGGTGGAGAGGGTCCCGGTAACGGGAGGAATGACTGACAGTGGGAGGCAGAGCGGGGGATTTCTCCGTTCTATAAAGTGTAATACGGCGCAGCTTATAGGCCTGTAGATAGATGGAGAGAATAATTTATCAGATTGATACGTTTGCTGTCATGCTCTCTGTCTCATTCCAGCACGGAGCGGCGCGTAAATCCTCGACGCTTCTAGTGAATGCCGGCTGAATTTTTGATGTGAATGGGAGTGTTGTTCCACTGGCCTAGTTTGGTGCACCGGATTGCTCCGTTTGAGTCGTTATGGGATGGCAAAAAAATAGGAGAGGGTGGGGTGAAAAGTGATGTTATTTGTTGTAAAGTTGCCGCACAATAGTGGCAGCAGCGCTTTAAGAAGACCTGGATTTTTCAGAGGTGTCATATCGGATGACACGCCACGGCTAATTGATTAAAGAAAAATTAAAAATCCGTTTCATGCTTTGAATTTGGTTATACGCGACAGATTTTAATGTTAAAAATTTTACAAAAGGGATTTTGTTTATTTGTTTTTTTTATTAAGAAAAAACAGACAATAGGACATAATTCTATATCCTTACAATGATAAAGTTTGCGTGTTTATGGCACATAAAGCACAGAGGAGAGGGAAACGGAGAGGGGGTTGTATTCCTCTCCATAGTCTAAGTTTCTAAGTGTAACAGATGCTTCTCTAGAAACGCTCCTTGTGCCGGTTCCTTTTATTCACATCAACATTTTTCTGCCGTCGAGCGCGTTTCCATAGCGAGGCGAATAAAAGGCAAATCCCCGCTCCGCGCCTCCAATAAAGAGCCCATTCACAGATAACCCGAGCCAGCCCTGCTACACTTGCGGCCTCTCTCCTACCAAGGTGCACATTACTGCCGAACAACTCCAACTAATGAGCTATAATTTCTTTAATTTTGCCTTTGTGGCGACGCTTGTTCGCGCTTGTTTATCACGTTTGTTCAGAGGCTTGTTTAGAGAGGTGGTGGTGGTGGTGGGGTTGGGGGGGGGGTCGCTTGGCGGCTGCGAGTGGCAGATTATCCGGGTGACTCCGGGCTGTTTACTGTAAACACGGCGGGGTAAACAAAAATAGATGCTTCCCAGATCAACTTCAGGGGGGCAATAATCGATAAAGAAAGACAATAGGGTGGAGAAAAAATATTCTAAAGGAAGGGACTAAAACTTAATAGTCTGTTTAAATGAACGTGATTAAGATTTGGGCACAAGAGGGTGTTAGATTAACTAGTTATACCATCAGGATTTTTAAGATGTCGAATAATTAAATTGCCTCTCGGTTGTTGGTTTGTTATACAGCTTGCTGTATGCGGGCATGCCAAAAAAAAGTTGAATATTTGTGCGGAGTGTTTGTTGTTTTATCTTTTTTTTTTCTTGACGATTGCTGTGACATACAAACACAAACACAAAACCTGTAAGAAAGTGCAGGCTTCAGTTGTTGTTTTTTTGTACACTTTGAGTTTGGAGCTCCTTTTTGCAGCTTAGATCAGGATTTTCTTTTTTTGTAATGTTGAGCCCCAGGGTGGGACCTGTCACTTTTGGTGTCATGACCTTTGGAAACTTTCCCCACGGAGCCTGAAATGTCTTTCCCCGCGTGCCAACAGTGGAAAGACGTTATTGTCCATTAATATATTAATCCGTATTTAGGGGACAAAAGATGCTTCTCTGCAACTTTATTTTGAGGCATTTAAAAAGAAAAAGAATCTTGCTGTGTCATTTAATCAAATCATTGATTTATTTCAAGTTAAGCTTTAGATTGTTTTCTAAATGAAAGCGTCCGTGCCATCTTTCAGTCCAAACTAAATCGTCCCCGAAGCTCCCAGACTGAAAAAATCGATACTCCCATTAACCCGTGACGTCGCTAATAAAGGACAGTGACACCGTGTTCCGACGAGACTGAACTAATCTCGCGTCATTTCGGCGACAAGCTGTTTGTTTACATGATTCATGATTACGCATAAACGTCTTTTAAAGTTTGATTTATTTATTTTTTTTTACACCCCTGTCTTTTTCATTCTAAAGACAACCCTTTGTGTTGGTGTGTCTCTGTGCATTGCGCCCTGGACGCACCAACCAGTGAACAGGCAGCAGCCACGGCTCATCCAGGCAGTGTAAATGAGTAAATAAATTCATAATGCATGAGGCGCATTTGCTCGGTCTGCACAGGGACACCTTGGTTCAAAGGGGTTATATATTATGGTATGCGTGTGCGAGTGTGTGCGCGTGTCACGTTTTCTGCAGGAGTGACACCAAGACCCGTGCGCAACAAGACCAGAAGGGGGGTTTACTTTAAAAAAAAAGTTCAGAATGACCTATGGAGTCTATTGAAAATCCATACTGATGTCTGTAGGTTTTTTTCATTCCTCCAAGTAAATTTTTCAGATGACCTGAGGCTCTTTTTAAGATGTTTGGAGTTTATAGTAAGGAGGGCCTTTTGATTCTGTGATTTTTATTGTCAAATTTAATTGCTAATGGAGGCAAGAAAAATATGGATATAACACCATCTATGACGATTTTATATTTACATTACGCATGGGACAACATTCCGACCTGACCAATTGGGAAACAACACACTGAAAATGATTATTTAGTTATGATTTAAAAAGAAAATGCAATTGGGGGGAAAGGAGTGGGGCTGTGGGATTCACCTGTCATCGTTTAGGGTCAACTAAAGCCCAGCTTTTATCCAAATGCATTCAAATATTCAGACATTCAAGGTAAAGTTGAAACTCTCGGGTTTCTAAGCTGTTTTGATTTTCTGCAGCCCCTTTAAATTTTTTAAATGACTGACTTCTGAAAGTAAAAAGCACCTCAATAATAGCCAGGAGTTTAATTAAACATCTGTGGTCTGAATATTAGTATTCCAACTATGATGCAAATTCTTGCAGGAATATTTTTTCATTTCTATTTTTATTTTTTCTACGTAATTAACGAATAATTTCAGACGCAGCAACACACCGGCCTGAGGTCAGACCACTCAGGTCCTCCTTTTTCACACTCTGAGAACAAACACTCTTTGAACAAGCAATTGATGCATGAACTGGTTTTGATGTGTTAATTTTATTACTATTATTTAATCTGCAAGGATTCGAAACGGCTAAATGAAATTTAGACTCCTGCTTTTCCTGTAAAAAAAGAAGGAGTTTTAAGATGATTCACAATGCGTGTGTGTGTGTGTGTGTTACAGGTGCTGTCTGCAGGAGAGAAGGGGAAGCCTGTGTGTTTTTCCTGGGTCAGACAAGCAACCAAGGCTGGTTTATAAAAAAAAAAAAATCTACATAACATTACCATCTGTTAAACTTCAAACACAAAAAACACACAGGCGTACACGGAGCATCCCGAGCAGGGAGCGGTGAAGAGCGGTGGTGAGTGCTCAGATATGTGATGCTCTTCAGCACCTCTCCACATTCTCTCCCACATCCTCCCTCCGTCCTCTCCAAATCTGCGCGCAAAAAGCGGAGCGGAGCTGGTGTCCGAGGCCCGAGATGGCACCGTGTGCGCAGAGGAGAGGATCCTGGAGCGTTCAAGACGGCAGGGTTGCAAGAAAAAAAAACAGAAAAAGATGAAGAAACTTCCTGGATGAAAACCCCCTCTTCAATCTCTCAGCCCTCTTGCTCAAAAAAGTCGCATGCTGTCGATGTTTAATGAATGGCCCCCGCAATTTTTTTTTGCGTAACACGGGAACAAGTTCTCCGCCACAGTTGAACAACCAGCCAACATACTTTCCCATGTGGCCCATACCCCCCCACCCCCTCACCCACGCACACACACACACACACACGCACACATACACGCGCACACGCCCGCACAGGTCCCTGTGAAGGAGCAGGCGGAGCCGGCAGTTGCACATCTGCATTTCAAACGCAGACTCTCTGGGATTCATTATTAATTAGCCTGCTGAGCCCTGGAGGACTGTTGATGCTGCCATCACACACACACTCACACGCACACACACACACAGACACACGCACACACACATGCAAACTTATACCTCGTGACCTCTTTGCCCTCTCTACAGTTAGACCGACTCACTAGAATTTCTCTCCCTCTTTCGATTACATCCCAGCCCCTGATTTCCAGCCTAATGCGTGGTAAAGATGATGAATTACTCGGGAATGTCGTTTTATTAGGCTGAACGCTGTCACCGAGCTTAAAGCACAGTGTGCAATTGAGCTGTTTAGTACACTGAAGTGGTAAATGACAAGCTGAGGGGACGACTGGAGCGTCAGAGACTGCGTGCTTGTTCTTTTGCCATCAAAATAAACATTACAAAACCCCTCTCTTTTTCTGTTTTTGTTGCCTTTGTTTGCTCCATTCCCGTGTTCTTCTTTGAGGGGAAATAAGTTGTTTTTTTGTTTTTTGTTTGGCTCTAATTCAGGAGTGCACTTTCTGCACATGCAGCATTGCGCCTTAAACTCCACCGGCAGCAAATAGAGGCAGATTAGAGAGATGCACGGCGGTTATGCATGAGCAAACGTCTCCAGGGTCCAGGAGAGAGGAAGCGAGACAACAGGCAAGGCGGCAGCCGGGGGGACAGTGGGTCCACGCCGCACGTCCCAAAGTTGGGGCCGCGCACTTTAAAAAAACAAACACGTATGGAACAAGCGCATGTTCCACTGCGGGTTTTTGCCTATTGTGTGCCTCCTCTGTTGCCCCCAGTTGGATTAGTATGCAGAGAGCCGAGGCGGAGATCATTCAAGAGCATCAGATTGTGCGTGATTTTTCTGAGATATTTCTGGCTGCGTGGTGTGGTGACTGCTAATATGTCGGGATGGAGTAGGAACAGCGTCTCCTCTTGGCTTGTTCGGATGGAGAAAGCTGTTAGATCTTTAATTGGTGGTTGAGTGGCTGATTACAGTTCCTTCTCTTTCAGCATGTCTCCATCCATCCATGGAAATCCTCGGATACATGGCTGAGATAATATTACCACTGCCACCGGGGCTGCAGTTGGGCCGACTGTGATCTCTCACTACCCATCAACACCTCACTGGCTTTAACCCGCTCTAGGCTACAAGCTAGGCCCATATAGGGGTAGAAAACTCTGGCAGTAATTTGAACATAATTGCATAATTGAGCAGGACACCACCATCTACGCCATCTGCCTCTAAAGTCTTCCATTTAGGAGCCCCCGTGGTTGAAACTGCAGCTCGGCTGTCACCTTCTATCTATATTCGAGCTGATAGTGTGTGAGGGTGAGGTATTCCAGCATACTCCAGCATCCCTGTGAGGATCAGTGCCTCTTGGACCAATTGGATCCAATTCAGAACCAGCGGTGGACCTCCACGAAGCACACACACACTTCCTGGTTTGGTAGGGAATGCTGAGCGGCTGTGCGGCGCGGCTTGCAGGGGGAGAAAAACCACTTCTCGACAACACAGCGTAGCCTTTGTCAGATGTGTAAGGAAGAATCCGAGGCAATCGCACAATCTGCACAAATGTTGTTGCAAGTTCTCGCTCCGAAAGGGAATTCTTGTTCCCTGTTCAGAGTGCTCCCCTTTCAGCCTGCCCGTTCTTTCAAAGGAGTGTCCGTATGATTTTTGGTTTCATACCAATTCCACCTGGAGTCTCGAAAGAAAGAACAACAAATAGGGGAAACATTTCATCCAGAATAATATGTTTATCCAAAGACCTGTGGACTTGGAGGAATGGACCCCCTCTGATGTGGTGGGCTGCCAGTGTGTGTGTATGCAAGTGAGTGTGCGGGTTGAAGTGTGTTTGGGTTGGATGTGCGAGACGGGTGAAGAGACCCTCCACCCCCTGGGGCCAGGAACTATGGGTACAGAGGAAGAGAGGTCTAACACACTCTCAGATTTCTGAAGTAGGTGTGTGTGGGGGTGTGGGTGTGTTACAGGATGTGACAAAAGCTAGGCAGCAAGTAAGGATTTGGACAGAACTTCAATAAAAGAGAAGCGTCTCACCTATGCTGTTGGTTCCCCCAGTTAATTTAAGAAAACACTTGTTTGATCTGTCTCGACCGACTCAAAACACAGAAAAATTTGCGAGAGTAGAGTTTTACTACAGCTCCCTTTCACTGCTGTTTTCTTTAAAATGGGATTCTTGTTCATGTAACCTTCAGAAAGAACAGGAAATAAAAAATATCAGGTTTTAAAAAGATTTTCTGTGACTATTCCACTTAAATAAGTTCCCAAAACTGCACTGCCAAAGATCAGATTTGAGTCATGAATTGGATAACAAAACAGTGAAGGTCTAAACAAAATTAGAAATAACCCCACATTTGCTAATTGCTGCTAACCCCAGCTATTTCAGTACACAATATCAATTCTATTTTCAAATATCTTCTAAAAGATTATCATTTTCAGAGTGCTCATTTTTAAACGAATGTATGAATTGTGTGAATTACAACCTGTTAGCCTTTCATCAAATAGCATGAATGCTAGCAGTAGCCAACTTGTTCCTCTTTGCAAGTAGCATAATGCTAGCCTCATGGCTGGCACCAAGCAGACATTTAGCAGTTAAACGTGTGTGAAATGTTGGCAAAGTCTTTTTTTGTGTATGTGTATTTTTGGCCTGGGCACCCTTTCACTATTGTCAGACTATCCATGTCCTTTTGCGGTCAATTCAAGTTATAGAAACAGTGTTACGGCCATTGTTGTGAGAGCTGACTCGTATCAGCCGTTTAGCTTTACAAATGACTTCATGAGAGCGGAGATAGCAGCGGTAGCAGATAAGGGTGAGCCTGATGTGTTCCACACGATCCTTTCATATCACCCATCTTAGTTTCCTGCAAATAAGCAGATTCTCGACGACAACCCGTGTATGTCCATTGAAAAAAAAAGTTTTCCTGTTTGACATTACAGAAGAACACAGCACAGATATCCCTCTATTCAAGAGTCCTTTCTTTTTCCCTCTTTTTAATTAAAATCTAAATGCAGTTTTGCTCATTGTCGGACGTGTGTACAACCTCCCCCTTCTGCAAGCTGTTTCCTTGTCCAAGCGTAGATTCTATCCGCTGATATGCTGTTGACAGTTATCTTGTTGCCGTGTTTATGATTTACCTCTGGTTTACCTTTGCAGAAATTATTCGTGTTGACCATCTTCTCGGTAACTAATTAGTGCATATTTGTGACTTCACGGTATGGCATATATAACCTTTATGTGCTAGTTATGCTGAAAAATTATAATAGTCTATCGTAAGCACTTAATTGGACCTCCATCCCAGTCTACATATATACATTAACTTTGATTCAAACACCGATCAACTCACAGCAATAATTGCTGACTCAGTATTTGGTACTCTTTTATTTAAACATCCCTCCATATTAAAGTATGACACTTGTTTTACAACCTTTTTATGTGTGTTTTTTAACTTCAAATCTGACTGTAAAGAAGCCCATTAAGGACATCATGCAACTCTCAATCACTTCAACCATTTTGAGACTGTCGCTCTGCTCTAATAAAAACCTGTTTTTACAATATTGTAGTTATGTATGTATATATGAGTTGATCAGTGTTTGAATCAAAGTTAGTAATTCAATAAAAAGTTTCAGATTGATTGGTTTTAAAAAAATTCTTAACAGCTCATTAGCCAATTTGCCTAGGGAGTCTTTAGAAAAATACCAATGAGGGAATCATTAATGTTTAAATCTTTTTCAGTAACCATACATAAGTTATGTGTATCTTATTATAAACTGTTTCTCAACCACACAAACTAGACTGTTGAAGGGAATCCATGGAAGCTCTTTACCAAATTCTTCTAGTTATAACACATGTAATTAAAGAAAAAAATATAATATAGATATATATATATATTACCACAGTGTTCCTATGTGTTATAATTTGCTTGCCTATGAACACCAAATAAAATAGAAGAAAATCACACGTCCTGGTATATAAATCAACAATTTCAAGGATGTCTGTGATGCCGTTTCTTATTTTATTACCAAGAGGTAATAGCAAGGTCGGCTGATTGAGAGGTTGGCGTTAGAGGACAACAGATCACTGACTGGTCACGAAAAATCACTAGACGTGTCACACATAAGTAGCTATGACGTCCCTGTCGATATTCCTTCTTTGTGAGCTCTGCAGCGCACATGTGTTTACCTTCTTCCAAAAGGTAGTCGGACACATGCAGTTGTCTATGTCCCGTTTCAGCTGGTGTCAACAACCGGTAAAGTTTAACATCTTTCCAACAGAGTGGCACAATCCGACATATACAGGAACAACTGAGGCCTTTACTCTCAGTGTTTTGTTTTTTTCCGGCCATGTGCACCATGCAAACAGGTGTGCGTTTATTTGGAAGGGTTGTGTTGGTCTAAGAAGCTCCCTCTTTGTCTGTGAGATCTGTTGATTTTCATTCCACTTCTAAACAGCCACAGTGTAATACCTCTTCTGTGTCTGCTACATTTCGGGTGACACCTGATCATTTTGCTCGTTTTTTCTTTTCAGATTTAAAAAATCCACAGTTGAATGTAAATCGCTGCTTTTGAAAACAGCTCCTGGCAAAGTGCACCTATGTGCTGAAAAGCTGGAAGGACTCCTGGCTCAAAACATCAGGTTTTTCAAAAGGTACTGGAACGTGAAGACATTTTTGCTACTAAAAAGTTGGCCTGCTCCAGATGATTTGTGGAGCACCATTTCTCATCGTTTTTTTGGAAACAAGTCCATTAAAATACAGCCCAATTCAGTCTGATTAATTGATTCAGTAATTACAATCAAATTCCAATCAGCCTCAATTTGAATCAAATTCAGTTTGACCAAATACTCGTAATTATAACCAGATGCTCTGAAATCCATCCTTAGAGAGCCTAAGGAAAGGGTACCCAACAGGAATCCTCTCTCCTAATGATAACAATCCAATTGGATTCAATTCAACAGTTTGTTTCCACATTTTGATAACTTTAGAATTCAATGAAAAAATATTCCCAAGCCAAGGAAACCCATGGATTGTCTTTTAAATTTGTAACAATCCTTGAGATACTGGGAAAGAACTCTCAGACGCAAAAATATACAACTTTTGCCAGTTAAAAAGATGCTTTTTCGTCCTTGGAGTCTGCTCCAGATAAATCCGTGAACCATCGTGGCACGAGTTGATTCTTCACTCATTTAACACAGCCATTAATCAGAATTTATCTAAAACTTTTTTTCATTTTTTTTTTTTTTTGTGTGGCTTCACCTTGAGAGAAGTGGCCATGAATTAAGAGCTAAATGGCAGCATAAGTTTTTGTATTCCCCCTCCTTGTCTTCCCATTAATGGTTGTGTTGTCTACAGAAGCACTTATGTGGTCTGACGTTGACGGTAAACCACTTTAACAGAGATACAGCCGAGGGATGCTTTATATCGCGCGTCGGACAAATATTGCTAAGGTCAAAACCCGTGAGGTCATCGATCCGCCTGCTGTTTCTCTGCCTGTCAGCTTTCTTGCGGGTGATGTCACTGTTGGTTCTGCCGATGCCACGAGAGGACGTGCTGGCTTAAAAGAAAAAAAACAACAAAACGTTTGAAACATTCCTGAGTTATCACGTGACGGTTTTGCCTTTGGAGAGGATTCTCCTCGCCCCTATCTCTGCCGCGATCGCGCCAGTGTTTTGAAAAGCACTGAAGTCTCACTCCCTTTGCTCTGGCTCCGTCTCCTTGGCTCTGAAAGAAGGTCTTATTGTGACGATGTCAGCTGTCTCAAGGGCATCCAGAACAAAGACTCTTTTCACCCCTCTGCATATCCTCATCACATCCTTCACTCTCTCACCTCTCCAGCTCTTTCCTCTCCATCTCTTGCAACCCGCTCTGATTTGAGTCTCTCACACCTCTCGTTTGTTCCTACTTTTTTTCCCTTTTTTTTGCCCCCACGCCTCCCCCCACCCCCACCCTCCTCTTCCTCATCACACACTCGGTTTGGCCCTCTTGCCGGTGAGCGCATGTGCACGGGGCAGGTTTATGAAATGGAATATCAAAAGAACAAATCCCCCAGCAGGTTGTGGCGATTTAGACTGAGATGCGAGTGTGTTCCTGATAAGTTTGCCTCTGGCGTGCCGGTATACGTGCGTGTGTGTGTGTGTGTGTGTGTGTG